TCGCTTTCCATCAATGGCATAATAATGCAGTCTGCTTGTTGGTTGAATCTCAGAATATCACAAATCCTCATCATACTATATTATTTGATATGATAATTGTAACCAAATCGCAGAATGGATCTACTCAAAACACAGGTAGGAATGATAAGAAGCATCCACTGGCTTTGGAAACAAGGATTGGAAAATTGAATACAATACCACAAGATACATATAAGAAGCTGGAGAGGAGTTCACCATACACATCGTCAGTGGATGAACTATCATCTCATCTTGAGAGTCCACTAAATGGTCAAGCTTCTATTAGTTCTCATCATAGGTCAGTGACATCCCAAAAGCATGTTGTCTCGTCAATCAGTCATCGTTCTTTCCCATCTTTGGCACTTGATAATTTTGACGAAAATCCTAAGACCAGGACTGACAGCAGCTACTACGAGCATTTGAATCAGGAGTTTCAAATAAATGCTGATACAAGTGGAACTATAACTACAGATTCTCAATTAAACCGCAATGAATACACTTCTCATGGCTATCCTAGCAACGCAGCATCTCCAGATAGTAATCACTATGAGGGAAAGAATCCTGGCACTGCAAGCAAGGATGATTCTGAAATCAACGACAAACTTTATAAGGGATGTAAGGAAGCTGAAAATTATCATGTGGAAGGCATAAGTGATAAATCTTACCGTACTTCTGTTGAGGATAAACATGAAAATGAAATTTCTGATTTGTATAAGCAATGCCACGTGACGTCAGATGAACAATCTGTAACTGAAGGTGTCAAAGATCAAATCTCATTGAGTGCAACTGCATATAATGGGACAAATATTGGTTCAAAAGGCCATAGTCTGAAAAGTGAAAGATTAAATCATGTAAAGTCTGTAAGGTCACCGACAGACTCAACACTGAGTACAGGATCACCTGGCAGCAATCATCATGCTGAAGTGAAGGGTGCTGGCATGGTTGGAGACGCACAAAATAATGGAGGGAATATCAGAGTCAGTGACAAAAAAGATTCCAAGGTTTATCCAAAAGAAGCAAGGGGTTCAGTTTCAGACAGTAAAATCAATCTTTTGGAAAGCAAGATAAAGATGCTTGAAGGAGAGTTAAGAGAAGCTGCGGCAATAGAGGTTGCTCTATATTCTATAGTTGCTGAGCACGGAAGCTCCATGAGTAAGATATATGCCCCAGCTCGGCGCCTTTCTAGGCTGTATTTTCATGCTTGTAAAGAAAATATTCAAGCAAGAAGGGCTGGGGCTGCTAAAAGTGCCGTTCATGGACTAGTACTCGTTGCAAAGGCGTGTGGAAATGATGTCCCAAGGTACACCTGAGCTAAACATATTTTCTATTGCATATAATTTTAAGCATTTTCCCGCCAACCTGTTGAAATTTGTGCTAACAGTGAGGCTAAGAAGTGATCATCATCCACTTATTTCTATTTATAATATTACTTAATATAATCATAAATACAGAAAACAGAAACGGAAAATAAACTATCATTAATAACTAATTCTCTGGATAATGGTGAGGGAGGAAAGATTACATAGTATCATTTATCCTTTAACACATCATATCATGAATTAAGTTAACATTTTGATATATTTTGTAGTTCAAGCATCAAAACTAATTGCATCGTCATAAAAAGTTAGAGGTCAGTAAAAATGATATTGCCTTTGATCAGTTAATTGAGAAAACAAGGGGATTCGTCAGCTTAAATAAAGTTTCCTTCATTATTTGCTAAGCTTGCCTAGATGGCTCTGTCAAAATACTTACAAAATGAGACTTAGCTTAATTTAAACTTTACAAATAATTAGATATAAGATCAAATGGTGAATGCAGTAGATATCTTGCCAACGGTCCTATCTAATGAGTCAGAGTAGTGGTTAGAGGTTGATGAACTGATATGATATTTTGCTAGTTCTTGCTACATTAGAGAAATTATATCTTCATCATAAGCTCTACCACCTGATTGACCTCTGGCACCCGACTACAGGTTGACATTTTGGTTGTCTAATTCTATTGTGTTGCGAACAATTATATGCCAAACCATAAAAAAAGTGGTACCCTCTGCTACTGCTGGACCTAGTGTCAAAAGGAAAACTGGGAAAGAGGGGAATGACAAGATAACTCTCTCGTTGCGATGGAAGGGATCCTCTCCCAGAAAAAATGAAAATACCACTGTTGAGCAAGGAGGTTTTGGTAACTGGGATGACCCCCTTGTATACATATCAGCACTGGAAAAGGTAGAAGCTTGGATCTTCTCTCGCATTGTGGAATCTATCTGGTGGCTGGTAATCCCTTAACTATTTTCTCCTTCAAAACAACCCTAAAGCAGCATTCTAGATCTGGTTAAATATTACAAAATCCTGTTGGCATCTAATCCGAGTTCTTCCTGGTCTGTATCCAGACTATGACTCCACATATGCAACATCGTGGTGATGCAAAGTTCACCAAAAACGGTGCAGGCTCTTCCTCATGGAAAACCTTTGGAAAGTTGTCTAGCTCGCGTGATCACGAACAGGGGAAGTTTTCACAAGATATTTGGAAGAATGCTTTTAGGGAAGCCTATGAAAAGCTGTGTCCCATTCGAGCTGGAGGGCATGAGTGTGGCTGTTTGCCAGTGCTATCTAGACTGGTTAGTCTATAATTTTCCCCCTCTACGATGGTGTCGAAACGTATTTCTATTATTCTTTCTTTTTTGGTCTATTACTGTTCCTGATTTCAAAATTCTCTTCTTCTATGGAATTTAATACCTGAGATTCCTGGTAACAAGTGAATCTTTAATAGAAACTGCTCCTTGAAATCTTGAGTTAGTGATAATGACCGTCATGAGGGTTGCCTCTTTTATATCTGGTCCAATCTTTGATTCAGTTGAATCAGGATGGTTGACTTGCAAGTTACCTTCATGCTTATGATTTGTGCAAATTGCTTAATATGTAATTACTCACAAAGCTCCTGACCTGCAAGTCTCGAACATGACATCAGAAAGCTTTTCTTTTGCTAAATCTTAGATAATGGAGCAGTGTGTGGCAAGATTAGATGTGGCTATGTTCAATGCAATTCTTCGTGAATCTGCTGATGAGATCCCAACTGATCCATTATCTGATCCAATTAGTGATCCCAAGGTTCTTCCAGTACCCCTTGGAAAATCAAGCTTTGGAGCCGGTGTGCAGCTAAAAACTGCGGTATATTTCTCATGCACTTGCGTGACCTTCAATATGACTCACATAAACCTGAAAATACAAGTTCAATTCATGTTTTTCTTTCTACGGATAATTTTATTCATCTTGAATGTGGCTCTATTAATAGACCAACAGTATAGCTGATGAGAGGGCTCCACATAAATTATTCCATATAATGTTGAAAGTGCATTGACTCATGACGTTCTTTTGACCTGTGGGCTGTACTTTCCAGATCGGGAACTGGTCTAGATGGCTTACTGACCTATTTGGTATTGATGAGGACGACTCACTTCAAGACAACGATGACCTTAATGATGGGGAACAAAATGCACCTTTCAAGTCCTTCCATCTTCTTAATGCACTGAGCGAACTCTTGATGCTTCCTAAGGATATGCTACTGGGTACATCTGCCAGGAGCGAGGTTTGGTGATGAACTTGAGATGTTCCTAGTTTTCTCCATTATCGTAACTGCAAAGAGTTTCCTTCCTCAGTCATGATGAAAGGAATTTTGTTTGTGAAGGTATGCCCGATGTTTAGCGCACCAGTAATCAAGAGGATTTTGAACAATTTTGCACCAGATGAGTTTTGCCCTGATCCAATTCCAACTGCCGTTTTTGAAGCTCTGGATTCAGAGGTTAGATAAACAAATATGCACATTGTTTTCTTGATAATTCACTTAATGTCGTGATGAATTTCCTCCTCACCGTAGAGTATATTTCATGGAATTTATTTGAAATCTTTTTTTCGATCTTATACAGGAGGACCTCGAGGACGGTGGGGAGTCTGTCAAAAACTTCCCATGCATTGCGACTCCCATAGTCTATATGCCTCCCCCTGCATCTTCCACAGCAAGCATAATTGGAGAGGTTGGAAGCGAAACTAAGCTGAGAAGAAGCAGATCTTCGGTTCTCAGAAAGGCATACGCCAGTGATGATGAGCTCGATGAATTAAACTCTCCACTGTCTTTGATATCTAACGATGGTTTCATGTCTAAGCCACATTCTACAAAATCCAACTGGAAGTCGAAAGAAATTCAAAATTCATCTGCTGTCAGGTATAAACTCCTCACGGATGTATGGGCCAACAGCGAATAATCTCGCGGAGTCTGCACAGCGATGATACTCTCTGGCTGCTCCCTTTCTGGGAGGGACATCACTTGTACAAAAGAAACGGCGATATCCCCTTTGCCACATCAGATATAAATTCGTAACATAATGTATATTAATATTATTTAGACAATCACGACGTATAGCTTAGTACATAATATAGGGTCCTAGAGGCCAGAACAGATATCTGATAGATTGAGGTGTTTTTATCCAACACACGCTTGTTTCTAATTTTGTTTAATAACAGTTTGTCCCGTAATGGAAATGCAGAAAGTCTTCAGTAGAATCGAATATCAATGGTCGTATGATTTATTCTAAAAAGAAAACGACTGCAAGTACCACCAGAAGTTGAGGCATTGACCCAATAGACAGCTATCGCATCTTTTGCTAGTTTAGCAATCTAGTTATAAGCAAGCCTGAAATTAATGGACTGAAAAATTAAGAACCTGATTGAGGATGCTCGATAATAAGATATCTGGGATATCTTATCCTCCTCGGCGTTCGCCTGGCTCGAAAGTAATTAACGAACAGAGTCAAGGGGGAAGATATACTGGTCCGCCACTAGCGTGCATTCTGATTTGAGTGGGCGCTTGCGAGAAAGCAGACCGGCACAGAACAGTTCAGATCCTCGGAACCCAAAAGCCATCGTCACATAATTATTGGACGGCATTGTCACCCAAAATTAACGAGCTGAAAAAAAGCGCACAGAACCAGAAAAGAAGATAACATGCTCACTTGTAAAATATAGTGGTCATACAGGGCCGTATTCTGTGCCTTTCTTTACTTTAGGCAACATACCAAGGGTATAGTCTCGGTGTTTTCCAAAATTAAAAAAAAAACGAATAAAGATACGAAACAAAACTTGCGGAAATTATTAAAAAATTTCCGATTAACTCTGGCTCTCATATTCACAAGTACTAGAACGCCGCGAAGGAATGTGAACGATGGGTGGAAGAGTGATGGCCCATTAGGCAGTCAACTTCTGTGTAGAACTATTAGCATTAATGTGCTGAAGATGTAATGCAGCCAGAAGCCCCTGCCAGGTTTCTCCAGGTCCACCGGCCACTTCAAAATTAATAAGCTTCTCCTGCTTACAGTAGTAATCTTCCAACGGCTTGCTCTGGAAAAGACAAACAGCACTAATGATTAGACGCAGTTACTCATAATAGAACCAAATGTAACTGATATCTAACTGTAACTTCTAGAAAGGAAGAAATGGTTATTGTCACCTGTTCTCCAAGGTGGCGGAAATTTTCTTCACGAGAACTTCCCCAACGGGATTTTAATTGTTCATCCTGCAACTGCTCAGATGGAGTACCGCAGCAGCTCATTTGTATATACTCCTGACGGGGTGTAAATTTTCCACTTTCCAGGTTTTTCTTCGCGGAGTTTTCTTCCAAGCATTTGAAATTCACAACCAAATCAACATGAACAATTTGATCAAGAATCTCCTGTAACAGATAAGCAACTGTCAATGATAAATGGAAGGAGTCATACAGTACATATGTCCCTTAACTCCTGCGCATGACATCAGTTACTAGAGAATAAACTCACACGGTCAAAGAAATAAGGTATCATGAGTATTATGATTTCTGAAAACAAAAGCAATTAAACTTACAGCCTGAATCCTTGTACGGGGAATTCCATCCAGAATGAAGCCATTTTCGCCTCTAGAATATCCTTCTTCGAGCCTTCTCGACAGCAATCCGAAAATTATTTCCTCGGGAACAAGCTTTCGTTCGTTCAGAGCATTAGCTATCTGGAATGGAGAAAGATGCGTAAGAATACAAAGTATGACATGCATTGGAAGGAGAGACTATCAAATCAACAGAGCTGAAGGCTGAAGCATGTATAATGAACTTCCAGACTTCAACACTCATTTGCCGATTCGTAAAATATTAAACAAAAACCACAGCTGAACTACCTCGATTTTGACACAAGCTCAAGGTGTTTTGCCCAGGAAATTAGCTTATTACCCTTTTTCCTCGTATCATACGGCTAATTGTTCCCTATCGAATGCTCTTGCCGCAACTTTCCGAACAATTAAAAAAAAAAATGCAGAACCATGAATTCTTAATTTACAAGAGATGAAATGACCTGCTGGTAGAGAGCAGAGCGTGGCGTCAGCTCCTGACGAAGAAGACTGCCCATAGAAATGTGGGGAACTTCAAGCAACTTGGAGAGCCTCTCGGCAAAAACGTGCCGTTTAACGCCCGGCTCCCCGATCATTACCCACTGAACTCCACGCTCCGTCGCCCAACCCGCGGAGTCGGCCATGGCTCTGGACCCGCACAGCTCGTACTCATCTTCATCGTCGTCATAGTCATACTGAACCGCCAAAGCCGCCGATCCGAACGCTCGGTTGGAGAGGAATCCAAGGGCTCTGAGCGACGGTGGTGAAGCCACTCTCCGAAGGCTGATCGCGGCCATTGGCAACGGCGGCGAGTGGCAGTAGGGCTTCTATCTCACACAACAAAGGAGCAGAGCAAACTGCGCCAAGAGGGATTGAGGAATTTCGACACGAGGTTTTAAGAGGATCTCATCCCACTGAGAAGTTGGGGGAAATGCCGTAAAAAAACGCGTTAATTACGAAAATGCCAGCTGGTCGTGATCATTAATTAATCAGGAGGGCTCGTGGCGGGAGCAAGCCTGGCGGGAACTTTTGACAACTGTCAATTTCTGTATGGCGGTTACAAAAGCATTCCGTCAGAGATGTTAGGCCTTGGGAAGAATTCACTTATATATTTCATATATTTTAAAATAGTTAGTATAATTTTTATTTTTTAAGTTTATTCTTATTTTATTTTTAGTCTCTCAAATTTTAAATTATAGGTTTTATTTTTTCTATGGGCAAAATTATCCAAATTTTTATTAAATTATATAGACTAATATTTTAAATAAAAAGAACTTGAGGGACCAAAACCTATGATTTAAAATTTAAAAAATCAAAACCAAAAGGAAGACAAATTTAAAGGATCAAAGTTTATATAAACACTATTAAAATTATGATTTAGTTTTCACTCGAACATTTTCTTATTTGGTCTTTGTCATAATGGTCATTGTAAAATTTAATAAAATATTTTATAATTAATCATTGTAAATATAAAAATCATTGCCCCTTTATAATAATCTTCTCATCTTTTTTCCCAATAAATTAATATGAAATTTATAAGGAAAAGTTTTCCTTCTAAATGTAAGTCCTTTTAAAAAATTGTAAATTTTTTTAATATAAACTAAATTCAGCTAATTTTATTAATATTTAAAAATAATTAGCGAGACTTTATAAAAATACTAGAAAGAGTATATATTAAATGTAAATTGCCGGTACTTCTCTTAATCCTTCTCTTTCGTATAGTAACTCAATAATAACTATATATTATAGAGCATTATTCAAAAAAATATTAAGCTTCAACAAGTTATAATGACTTGTAAATAAAAATTGAGGTGAACCGGCACGTACTTAAATATCATTCTAGTCTTTAATGTAGGTCATTTGTAATATATTCTTACATATCAAATAATACGTTGAATTATCAAAAAAATTTAATTTTATAACTATTAAAGTTTTCTCCTTTTCATATTTATAAATCATGTTTTTCTTTTATTTTTCTGTTTTCAAATAGCACTAAATAAAGATAAAATTAAAAAGGATTAAGGTGCATCTAATATCCTGAAATATGCATCTTAAAATATTTTATGGTGTATCTAACACCAAGACAAAAAAATAATACACTTTAATTTAATTAAATATATATATATTAAGTATAAGTCACTTATGTTTTGAACAAAAACTTTTTCCTTTAAATGATTTACATATAGGATTTAACAGGTAGTTAAATGAAAGGCTGAACCTTTGGCGGGAAAAAATGGAAAGTCTGCAGTCGCGAATGACATGACACTTTTACGAAATCCCAAGGAGTACTAACGAATAATGATCACGTGTAAAGCTGGGTCCATGGTGTCCAAGAGACTGGGAACTTTGATTGCTCGAGGAACTGACACGTGTATCTCACAGGGGCGACATCGGCAGAGTGGCCTTTGACAAAAAACGCTGCTACGCAGCGGGCATAGAACCGCGGAACTTCACACTGCCCGTTTGCCGGGTTGAGTTCTGCAAGGTCTCTCAGCTCTTAAAATTCAAGAAAGTGAAAACTGAAAGGACACCAAAATGAAGGTTAACTTGGCATCTCTAAATATTTTCCCAGTTATATTTGGTATTTTAAAAAAATTTTGTAATATATTTAATACTGTAAAGTATTTTTTGATAGGTCCAATACCGTGAAATATTTTTTAATGCATCTAGTGTCTTAAAATATTTTTTTAAGTGCGTAAAACACTCAAAAATGTTTTTTTGATACATCTAGTACTAAAACAAAAAAAATACTTCATAAATACAACTAAAAAATATTTCAAGATACTACATGGATTACAAAATACTTAAGGCTGGGTTTTTTTTTTCTGGACACAAATACCTTTCAATCAGACTCAATTCAAGAGCCAACGAAGTACACAATCGGAAAGAACTAAATCACGCCACGATTATAAATATTTTACATACATGTATCTGCAGGCTGATTTTTGAGGATCGGTCCCCGAATTCTGTAGCATTTGAAAATTTTAAAATAATATAAAGAGTTTTATTCTATATTTTGTATGTTCCTAAACCAAAAGAAAGTCTAAGTTAAAAAAAGTGATGAATTGTATTTGAAATGTCTATTGCTGATCCGGATGTCTAATTAAAAGTCATACCCTGAAAAAATAAAGAAAAATGTTGAGTAAGTTACAGGGAAACCAATTTGCTCACGAAAACGATTTTCTTTTAGATATGATCCAACAGGAGCATGTGATAAATACTACTACCTCCGGTCCTTAATATAAAACTCTATTTGATTTTTATTTTGATCTTAAATATAAGACCCCAATCCACTTGGTCTCTCATATTTATATTTTTTTTTTCAAAGTAGCCCTTCTAATAATGATAGTTCTAGTCAATACACTTGATTAGTAAGGATATTTTAGGAAAGACAACACCTCTTTAAGACCAATAACTAACTCAACTTACTTCTTTAATCTCCTCAAATTAGTCAACTGGCTCTTATAATTAGGATTAGAGGTAGTACTACTATGTAATAGTGATATGATCAGCACACATGGAGGAGGAAGAAGAGGAGAATTCTGATAAACTTGTCATTGGAAGTCACGTACACTTAGTTTAAACGAAGTGCAACGCGTGAACAAGGTCTGATCAGTCATCTCAGTTTAGTTTAATACTCAATTGACATTCAACACAAATATTAATATAAAAATAAAATATGAAATTTGTTACTATCCAAGAGCTATCCAACTAATTTCAGCGGATAAAGAAAAATTATAAGTTAATTATCTGTAACGATTATAAGTTAAATTTTTTTAAAGTATATTTTTAATTATGACTACTCTTAAATGAAAACCAGAAATGTTTTAGAGAATGAATTATAAAATTAAGAGATACTCCTCCAGTCTTTAATATAAAACCTATTTAACTAATTTGATTAGATTAAGAAAGTTAGGTAAGTTAAGAAATATGATATGTTTTTCTTAAAACACTATAATCATCTTTCTTAATATCCTTCCCCTCTTTTACTTAATTATGGTTGAGGGAATATCTATATAGGTAACTTAAAAAAATAATAAATATGAGAAATAGGTATTATATTTAAGATCAAAATTAACTCAACAATTAGATTCTATATTAAGGATCGAAAAAGTAAAATAAATTGAAATATTCTATTTAAAATCAAATACAATTTTCAACTAGTTTTTACATCAGCTTTTATGTTAAGTATAGGAGTTAGCATAAGGGCTGTTTTTTTTTTTTGTTGTTTCCCGGGTATAAGGGATGTTGTTGATTTGTACTATTTTTTAGATTTCCAGTAAAGCGCATGGCTTAAAGGGGAGCTAGAATAATTTGCTGCATTAATTTTGAGTCGGCTGACGAAAAATGAAATGCACATGAATTAGAGGACAGGGCTGGTCAAAACTCGAAACATTGGTGCGCCGTCCATCAATAAATATGGTAATAATATTAACATTAATATTAATAGTACATACATGACTTTTTCCATTGCTTCCGCCGGCCCATCCCATCCCATCCCATCCCTTTAATAATTTAATGCTCTGTACATAAAGGTCCCCGTCATCCATTCTCCCAGAGCCCCTCAACCCTTCCTTTTTCTTTTAAATTTTATTATATTTAATATGATACACCTGATCTTTAATACCACCTGTAGCCTTAAATATAAAAATTAATTAACTAATTTAAATAAATTAAAAAATAAGTTAAATTAGTTATTTATAATAAATAGATATTTTTTAAATATTCTTACTAATTATGTATATTAGTTAGAACTAATTGATAAAATTTTAACATGTATAACTATTATAAAAATCATCTTAAAAATTAAATAAATATGAGAGATAAAATAAATTAAAATTTTTATTTAAAATCAGATTAAATGCTAAATTAACTGGATGGAGTAAGATTTAGGAAAAATTGCAAAAAAAAAAGACCATAAAATTGGAAAAATTATAAATTGGGACCAATGACAATATTAATATGGGTTTTGATAATAATTTTTTTGAACTGGTCTCTATATGTAATTTTTTTAATTCTATGGTTTTTGTTGCGATTTTTCCCAAGATTTATATCACAGATGTCTAAAATCTAAATTTTCGGCCATAAAAAACACGGCGGAAAGTTCTCTGCGCTTTCTTGCCGTACAATCGGCAGCTGCGAAGTCCTTTCTGGTACGCTTCACGGCTTCTTAATTAACACTAAATAATCAATTCCACTGATGATGATGATAATAACAACAATAATAACACTTCATTTTCTTAATATAAAAATTATTTAATTAGTTGATTAATTTGAATATATTAAAAAATAGTAAAGTTAGTTATTTGTTATAAATAAAGCTTATTTTTCTTAAAGTAACCTTACTAATCTGTGTATTAGATAAAAATAAAATATTTAATATATACAACAACTATAAAAATGAATAAATATGAGAAATAAAATAAATGAAGATATTATATTTAAGATTAAATTAAAAATTAAATAAACTCTTATACAGTATTAAAAAGACGAGCTATTATTATTATTATAAAACTATGTCGGTAGAGTTTAGCCCATGTGATATGTCAACCCGCGCATAAAAAAAAACGCCCATCCCTAACATCCCATTTTCAATTTCCAATAACATCACTGTGGTTGTTATAGGAGCAAGACCCTCCGTTATTTCTTTGAAATTGTCATTACTGTTAAACATTTCAACAATGAAAATACACATAACAGAAAATGCTACCTCTGATCATAATTATAAGAGCTAATTGACTAATTTGAGAAGATTAAGGATATAAGTTAAATCAGTTATTTGAAATGAATAAGTGTTATCTTTTTTAAAATATTCTTGCTAATTAAGTGTATTAGATAAAATTATCATTATTATAATGATTTTCTTGAAAAAAAATACATAAAGAGATAAAATAGATCGAAATTTTATATTTAAGATCAAAATAAAAATTAAATAAGATTTTGTATTAAATACCGGAGATAGTATTTCACTTTACGCTATCAATCCCGATTGCATAAACAAGATATTTATTGGTAAAAACTCTTATGTTTTGAATTCCAAGTCGACAACTTTAATACTCTCTCTCTCTTTTTTTAAAGTTGTTTCCTTTTATGTGGGAGAAGGCTCTTCGACGGCTCCTCGTATCCCATGGATCAAGATAAGTAGAAAAAGATGGTGCTTCAACCCCGGAAGTTTCGACCTGAATTTCTCCCCACCAGATTTTCGAACCTACTTGATTCCTTCTCCATTCGCATTTAATTACGAAAGGGCCACGCAACTTCGGCCACAGTACGAAAGAGAAAAAATATATAAACTAAAATTAGGAAAAACTGCAATAAGATTCCATCTAAGAGAATTCAATATAAAAAGGTCTCTTAAAATTATCAAATTAATTTAATTACGAATTTGCCTTTATCTTCTTTTTTCAAGTATACATTGACAACTAAAAGTATAGTTATTAACGACTAAAGGAAAAATGATTAACGACTATTGCAGCAGATATTGACAATTCATGCATTATATTTTTGTGATACGTTGAAAAAATATGTTGTTAATATATACTGTGATAGTTGTTAATCATTTTCTCTTAAGTTGTTAATAACTGTTTTTTCATTTATCAATGCATAGTTTAATGCTCTGCCTGGATGGGGAGAAAAGTTGAGAGGAAAGAAAATGAGATGAGAGAAAATAGGGAGAAGGAAAAATTGGAAGGAAGTTGTTATCATTCCTCTTACTTGGATGGATGAGAGAAAATAGAGAGGAAAAAAAATTAACAAATATCTAAATGACTAAAATATCCTTATCAAAATATATCATATTTAAAATTAAATTAAGTTAAATATTGCAATAGAAAAGTTATACTGACATTAGCATCACCAAACAATTTAAAATCAAGTTATTTGATTTATATATATTTTCAGATTATTATGTTTTAAAACCAAATTATTGAATAAAAATATTGTTTTAAGATTAAAAAACAAAAATGAATTACTTTTTAAATATAATAAAAGAAAAATAAATACGAAGAGGAAGAGAGAGAATGGGCAATCATGTAAATCTTGTTTTCCTTCCCAAATATTTCCATATATGGAGAGAAAATTTGGAGAGAAAATAAGGCATGGGACCCACCTTATTTTCTCCTCTACTTTTTTTTCCTCTCATATTTTCTCCCATATCCAAGTAAGAGAAAATGTGTTTCTCCTCATGATTTCCTGTCTAGTTTTTTCTCCTCTATAATTTTCTCTCAATCCAAGCAAGGAGTTAAAAAAAAAAAGGACAATTGGTGATTAAACAGATAAAATCTCTCGTAATGAGGTTTTTTGAGACTTCAGAATAACTTGATAATTTTAATAGACTTTTTTGTGTTTAGTTTTCTTGAGTGGAATCTTATTGTAATTTTTACCTAAAACTATCCCACGTCCTGCAAGTTAACCTGGTCAACCCATTCCACGCACCCACACGCGTCGTTCATCAGTATATATATGCCTCCTTCGTCTACCTCTTGCCATTTCCAAAGTCCTCGTATTGTTGCTTCTTCATCTTCATCTTGTCTTCATGCCATCCGTCGACAGACTTGACATTACGGATTACTATATCACATATATGGATAAGGCGACGCAGTATGGTCGTGTGTTTGAGCACTTCGACGAAGACGGAGACGGGAGGATATCGGCAAAGGAGCTGCGGCAATGTGTGGAGGCGATAGGTGGGGAGTTGACGGAGGAAGAAGCGGAGGCGGCGATGGAGTATTTGGACGCCGACGGAGATGGCCTGGTGGGGTTTGAGGACTTCGTGAGGTTTGTGGAGGGAGGGAAAGAGGAAGAGAAAGTGAAAGACTTGAAAGAAGCGTTTAAGATGTACGAGATGGAAGGAAGCGGATGTATAACGCCTAAGAGTTTAAGCAGAATGCTTGGCAGATTAGGTCAATCCAGAAGCATAGATGAATGCCAAGTCATGATCTCCAGATTTGATCTAAATGGTGACGGCGTCCTCACTTTCGATGAATTTAAGGTCATGATGTTGTAATTACCTTGATTAATTTGTTTCCCTCATCTATATATACACACAGCGGGTGCTGAGCGTACATTTTAGGTCACACATTTACCTTGTTCAATTAGCAGAAAAATGCAAATGTGGACCTGATCTGATATGATTGAAGGGAGAATTTCCATTTCTATTCATTTTTTTCCTCCGTTTGTAATGGAGTGATTGTATAATTAGATTGAATGGATATTCTTGATTCTCTTCAGCTGTTTGTCTTCCTAGCTGTTAATCTATTTCGTGTTTGTTACTATGTTTACTTTTATGCATTGTATTATCGGGACTCGGTCATTGGGAGAATTCACGCGCGTGTGCGCGCGCGTTTATAGATGTTCACACAACGTGCATGTCACGAGCGTATGTACGTGCATACTTGCTTTACATACTCAACGAGAAGGACGCGCCTCATCAGAAAAATATACGCACGAGGGGCTTGTTCTTCGTTGGCGCGCTAATTTTGACAAAAGTAGTACTCCTCCGGATATAAAACTCATTTAATTAATTTGATTAAATTAAAAAAGTTAGGTAAATTAGCTAATTATAAAAAAAGTGACACATTTTTCCTAAAATACTATAATCATCTTTCTTAATACCCCCCTCTCTTCTACTTCATTATGGTTGAGAGAGTATCCATAGGAATAATTTAGAGAAAATTGATAAATATGATAAATGTGTCTTATATTTAAGACTAAAACTAATTCAAGAATTAAGTCATAAATTAAAAACCGGAGGATTATATACATATCATATCACGGTTGGTAGTTAACCAACTGACACGAACATCATGAAACAAGATGATAATGGACATTACAATCACAATATTAAACCCAGGTAATAAAACGACGACGTTGGACCTAGGTGATGACCACATCATTCCTTGAAATATACTATCTTTCATCCATACTATAAAAACTAATTGACTAATTTTAATAAATTAAAAAAATTAGTTAAATGAAAGACAAAATGAAGTAGGGTCTTATATTTATGATCAAATTAACTCTTATAGTAGTACTCCTCTGGTCCTTAATATAGGATCCAATTATTGAGTTTGTTTTGATCCTAAATATAAGACCCATTTCTCATATTTATTAATTTTTTTCTAAATTACCCCATATGGATACTCTCTCGACTATAATCAAGTAGAAGAGGGAGAAGTGGTATTAAGAAAGATGATTATGGTGTTTTAGGAAAAATGTGTCACTTTTCTTATAATTAACTAACTTACCCAACTTCCTTAATTTAATCAAATTAATTAAATGGATATTATATTAAGGATCGAATGAGTATTAAGGAATGGAGGGAGTATTACACAGCTGATCTCAAAAGGTGAAGCAATAAACCTCCCCATGTATTAATCCAAGAGTCATTTTTGAGGGCAACATCTCTATGTTCCTTTTTGCTGGACAGCAGGAGCAGAGAATCCACATTTTCAGGGCGTGGAGAATTAGAGAAATGTACTGTTTGTTTAGTACGTAGAGCGTTATATTATCTTCGGTTTTTAATATAAAAATTAGTTTGATTTTTAATTTGATCCTAAATATAAGACACTAATTTACTTTTTCTTCAATATTTATTTATCCTGCCCTCAAGTAATTCCTATAGTAATTACATATGTTAAGGAGTTACTATCAATAGGTAATTCAAATGTACATGACTACTAAAAGTATTTTAAGGAACACAATATCTATTTACTATAAATAACTAATTTAACTAACCTTTTTAATATTTTCAAATTAATTAACTAGGACTTATAGTATATGATAAAAAATGTTAGGAGGATGAGAAGGGGAAAAAGATCCATGTTCCTGTGATAAAATACTGCTGAATAAGAATGAAATATAATAAATATCACAGTGATGTTGTGGCCTGCAATTGTTTTTTTAATCGTTTTTCTTTTGCACGCCTAATCCAATGCAGAGGTTTATTTCAGTTGGGCCAATTCGCCTTCACACGGTCTCTTCGGGTGCCATGGTTACATTTGGCAGACAGAGTTGACGCGCCAAGTGAAGCAGCTCAACAAATTCATCTTTCATAGGAAGGAAATTATAGAGATAGATTTTTGCAACGTTCGTTATGCTATTTCTCGAAGAGAAGTAAAGAAAGAGCAGAAGAGAATACAACTTCCCATGTTACCATTTGTATAGCTTTCTTCAACCGAAAACTCATCAAGAAAAAAGGAAAAAAGAAGAAAGAAGAAATAACTCTACCTCATATGAGGATGTCAAATAATACCGTCTTTTTGGGGTTTTCTCACACCAACCATGGCTTGAGGGCTCAGGCTCCAAATTTGCTAATCTGTACTGCGTATTTGCATTTTGCAGGTTCCCAATGAATGATATCATCTCTTTTTGACGACACCCGTTTCAGTTATTACATTCAATCATGTGTGACTGTTCCTTTTAAACACATGGAATGTTGGTCCTTTTCACTACGAACGAACCTTAAAGATTTGGTCCACACTGTCAGCAAAATATGCCCTTTACACTGCAGAAGTTTGCTTTTAAAAAAATTAGACCCATTTGTTTATCCCTGTTAGCCTGCAAACCACATCGTGCGCCATTTTATAGCTGCTCTGCGGACTGAATCCGCCAAAATAGCCGGGTCTTCAACGAAGACTGAAAATCTCACTAGGAAAAAAAAAAAGAGGACCAATAATAAGTAGAAAACTGCCTTGTTTGTTACTTATTTTGATCAGTTTCGATATACTTACATATACAACGTAACCACATATTCAATTAAGAGGGCCAAGAGATTGGATTTAATTTGCAGTACAGAAACCAGGATCAGGGTTTTGCTGGTGCTTTCACCAGAGGCTTGGAAGAGCTTTCAGACATCAGCATGTGGTCTTCTTCCGGAAGTTCCTTGACCAATCTGGTTAGCTTTTCCACGACTTCCCCTGCACTTGGCCTCATACCATAATCTTCCTCCACACAAGCTCTAGCAATGTTTGCCACCGTTACTGCTGCATCGAATGAATAATTCTCACCTAATGTCTTGTCCATCCACCCTCTCAGTTCTTCCTCACTTTCTGACTTCAAAACAGACTTTATTTTATCAGTGAGCCAAACGCTTCCTTCTCCCTTCTCAATCGGTCTGCTTATAGGTGTCTGACCAGACAGAACTTCCAGCAAAACCACCCCATAAGCGAAAATATCAGTGCTTGTAGAAATTGCACCTTGGTGTACATATTCTGGTGCCAAATAACCAAGACTCCAAGATGCAGGGTTGGTCGAGTAGAACTTTGGATCCTCTGTCTCGTTCTCAGCACACCCTGCCATCCCAAAGTTCCCTATCTTGGCACCAAATTCTTCGTCTAGAAAGATGTTCCTGCTCTTGATATTTCTATGGACATAGCTTGGGTTCATGACGTGGTGCATATATTGCAGGGCCATGGCCACGTCTAGGCAGATCCTGAGCCTCTGACTCCATTCGAGGAAGCAATAGCAGGATGATATGAACTCGTTCTTTATGGCCAACCCACCATGAAGCCAGTCTTTCAAAGACCCGTTTTTTGCATACTCGAAGACCAGGTATGACTCGGGACCTTCTGTTAAACACGTTCCGAGCATCCGAAGAATGTTGGGATGATGGTGGATCGGGTTATGGAAGAGCCCCATGTCGATTTTTAACACCGTCTCTGTGTGTGTTTGCTTGATTGCCATGTTCTTCCCTTCTAGACGGCCGTGAAATACAGGTCCTTCTATGAGATTGCTTGAACTGAAATCCTCCGTTGCTTTTCCGAGGTCTTCAATAGTGTATGTCTCCAGCAGCATCTTACGAGGAGTTGTGTCGATGATTTTCCCATAGTGGGATCCCTCGAACGAAACTTTCTTGTCGCTGGTGGTTCTTACACTCATATCAAGATGTTGCAGCTCCAAATTGTTTCTTTTGGCAGATTTCTCTTTCTTCTCGTTTCTCAATCGAACCACCGCAAAAGCTGCTAGAAAAGCAAACAGAAGTCCGACTACGACCCCAGCTAACCCAATGTACAGTTCACCCTTCCACGTTTTGGGTTTCCTATGTGGTGGTTTAATTGCTGTAATGCTGCTTGATTGATTACCAGAACTGGGTTCCTTGGGTTTGGCCAGAGAACCAAGAACAGGCTTACCATTAAGTGGGATGAGAAGCGAGGTAAAGGGTGTGAGCTTCGCGGGGTTAAAATCTCTGGAAAATATGCTATTTGCGGAGATTATTGCTTCGGCGGTAGTATTAAACTTTGATGCCAAATTGTGAACTGTATCGCCTTCTGTCACAGGGTAAGAAATCACAAGCTTTGGCTCTGGAGAAACTTTAGATGATAAGGGACACGCACATCTCAGAGGGATCAGCAATCTGGTATCATCATCGAGATCCCAAGGTGACACGCCTGGATTCTTATCACTAATAGCCATGCAGGTTGTCAAGCCTTCCAACGATTGAGCAATACCATAAAAGCTCTCACCTTTAATGGTAGTCTTGCTTATCTCAGCGCTATAGAAGCCACCTTTGCATTTGCAGTCTATTGGTATTAGTAAAGGTTGATCATGAAGAAGAAACTCTGTTTCTGCAGAAAACCCATTTGCATCTGCAATCACGTAACGGTTGAATCCCAAGTAAAAGCTCAAATTGAAGAGAGATGAGTAGTATGAATTGGTAAAGAAAACTGCAAATGTTCCACATTGTGATTCATTTTTACTGCAACGGTAGCCAGAGACATCTGGATATGATGTTGTGTTGCAGCTAGTCAGCTCTTCTCCGAGCGAAAAGACAAAGAGGCAGAAGAACAGAAAGGCCAAAGCTCTCAGGTGGAGAAGCTTGGTGATCATTTCTGCCATTATGCTCAGGACCACTCACTTCAGACAGCTCTAAACGTGGAATGACCTATAAAATACTATAAAAGGCTTCGTCTCTCACATACTCTTGGATCTATACAAAAGCTGAGCAGGGAACAACATCACAACTTTTTTTTCATTTGTGTACAGAGACAGGGTTCTTGGGGATCACAAAGTTTAATTTGACTCCGATTCCTTCATCAACAGATATGAGGCCACGCATCCCAAATCTCTAGCTTCGCTTGTCAGGGTTTATAGGCGGCAAACACTCAACTTCTTTAGAGGCTCCTCGGGCTTCAAACCTGCCTTTATATGCATCTGCCTGTACATGTGAGGATGCTCACTGTTTGTTGATCACATAAATGATTTTTATTTGACGAGCTGAGTATGTAATTAAAATTTAAAAATATAGATTCTTCCTGCTTTTTACTTTAAAATGTAAATGACTCTCAAGTCAGGGGATTAATTCATTTAACAAGGGGTGCACGCAGACCATCAAGAATATTTAAAGCTGCTTAGTTTTTTAAAGCAATTTATGAGTGAGATGCCCCCCCAACGGCCCCCGAAAGCCTACAGGGAGAACAGGACGAAAGATTTAATTGTCCAAGCGCGTAGCTTGTGACAGGTATATTTGTACAAAGTGAAAATATTCTATCTCAGGATTGCAGCTACTAGAAGACGTGGCCCCTCATGGTATTTATATAAACCATTTGATATTTGATATCAACACAGGGATCCCATGACACAGCATGTCACTCATTTCAGCATTTAAAAAGAAAGAAAGAAAGAAAGAAACAGGTTATTAGGGTTCAAATCTCCACCCATTATATCTGACTTATTTAGCAACAGATTATGAACAACATAGTATAGAACTACATTTACAGAAGGGTTGAAAATGTAGATGAAACATTGGACACAACGCTTCCTGGTTTTGGCGTTGAAGATGAGAATCTTCATCATTTTCATCCTCCGATCAAGTATCCAATTTGCGTTTCCCATCAATGCAAAAGAAGCCTACAAGGAAAGCACTAGGGCTCCAAGTACACATGACTTTACAAATAAAAGCAAAAGATCAGGCTTGACTTTCCAAGGAAGAAAGATGAATGCAGCAGACAAGAGAATATAATGTGTGAAGAAAAAAGTGTAAATAGAAATGATGGCAGAGTAGAAAGTATGGGCTCGAAAAGCAGACAAATAGAAGATTGAACAAGGCATATATGCACCCAAGTTAATGCTAAGACATGGAAGTGAGGATATGGGTGGGCACGTCATGGAACGCTCTACTTTTAAAAATATCTTCAAATTTGTTGAGCCAATTTCTAAATGCAATCATATTAGAAAAGGATGAAACGCATTATTTAAATAAATAACTTTATCATGGTTAAATAGAAAATAACCTATAAATTGAAAAACTTCACAACACACTGCTACAGATCCAAATGATCCAAATGCACTTGACATTACAAAAGATAAGCTTCTATAGTTCAAGTTATCTCAAAACATAATGAAATCCTCAATCAAGAGACATGTTGCAAATAAGCTAATATGTATTAAGGTTACGAAAAGGGCTCTAGGTGGCAAAAAGACACCAGAATAGCACATATTTAAACTTAATCATACTCTCTAGTTCACTCCTAACCCATATTTACTCATATTAAGTGGTGGGAACCAAAAAAAAATGAGGATCTTACTTGTCACATTTCAACGCTTTGGTCGTTGAAAAGAGACCACCCTCACCGCCCATGCCAGCCCCTATATAGCCTTGTCTGTGTAAGCATATCACTTGCTTGCTGGCTCATCTTTTTCATTTTATGCATCATTGCTATTATTAGATGTCAATATAGCTGTACATAAAAACAAAACTTCCTTTCATTTCATTGGAATTGAGGTTATATGAACGGTGATAGTTCATTTTCATATCATAAATTATGGAGTACTGCTTCTTTTCATTGGGATTGAGATACAATACTCATCGAGATTTCCATAAAATGATATGTAATGGGTATGGGGAATTATTTTTCAAGAATGAATTCAGTTAAAGACATTGAAAAAGATGATGATGATTGATGAGTTGGCATCCGAATCTGAACCATGCATTGGGATTTCTGAATCAGAAATGTCATTGTGCCTGGTGCTACGAGATTGATGTATCAAAACTCGGCGGAGATCTTGTGGATTACTTAGTCCAAATCCACAGAACCATGATTTCTGAAACTTCATGTCTGTATGGTTCACTCAGTGAAGTTAAAAGTAGAAGAGATAAAACCAGATTCCATGTGCTTTTCTTTATCTTTTTTTATTTTAATGTCAATAACGTACACAGGGGGAAGAAATGTTGTGGGTATTGATTAGTTAATCAGATGATGAGGAACAATCTTTCATTAAAAGAAAACATTTTTCCCAAGTGGCTGTCATAATAACGATTTCAGACAGTTCAGCAGAATCCCATTGCGTCCCTCATAGCACAAGTACCCCAAAGCGCTCTCTGATCTCTCACCAAAACTTTTTCCAACGACATATCATTATTAATGCTGTTCAGGTATTAATATTACCTTCAATATCGCTTATTAGAATAAGGATGATATGACGATGAAGATTATCGTCATCATTATATTCGCTGAAAGCGATGATTGTGTCTCTTTCCGTTTGCTCATTAACAACAGGCCCTCGTTTTACCCAAAAAGCAGCTCAGAGAAATCCGTACATTGCATGTTAAAAGGAGAGTAAAACGGAACCTCTCAAATTATCAAGACAGAATTGGTTTCGGAGAACGATACTATAAATTCAACCTAGTTTTTCTTATTCTATTGGGCATGGTGAGTGCAGTGAACAAAAGTACCTTTATACGGAGTGTTCGGCAGTTCTAAACCAATATTGAATGCAAATCGTTTTTCTTGAGACGAAGTACAGAGCGACTTCTGCGCAAAAGCAACTTTTGAGCTGAAAGCATGGTTTTTATTGGATCCAAGCAATGGTGGTGGAAAAACATGGTCCATGCACGTGAGAACACATGCTGGCCGCTGTTCCTTGTGAACAGAAAATTAAGCTAATTTTGAGACCTGGTCAGCCAGGCCTTACCCAAATTCCAATACACTTTTCAAGTCCCCTGTTCCTTGAAAAGTAAAAAGGTGCCACCATATATAATGGTTTAAAAGAGAATCGACAGGGGCGAATATATGAAGTGGCTGGCATTAGGTTAAAGAGAATGAGTTGTCACAAAATTTAGCAATGGAAAAATATAGACCATTCAACATATTCATGTATATTAGCGAGCACGTGTCAATGCGAGCTATCCAGACAAGTGGTTTGCTGGCTCATTAGAATCAAATCCAATTATTCACTCTGGTTTATATAGATGGTGTTGGTGACAATATTTGTCAAATCCAATTGCAAACAAGAATGTCACTTGTCATCAAATTGTAAAATACGCCTTAATGTACTTCATAGGGCGTACAGTGGACGTAGCAATACAAACAAACCACTTCTCGTTTATTTAACAAGTCAAAATGTTAGCACATTGAACAGTTTGGAGAATATCAATAAACTCTGTATGCGAAGCTGTGTAAGGGTAAATCAACTTGTGCTCAGCAGTCTTTCCTGTGTTTTGTCAGTTTGATTGCTGGGCTTTCTCGACACTCTTCTTCATCAAGGATATTACTTGGGCTGGCTCAGGGGCTCCAAATACCGAGCTTCCCGCAACAATGCAATTTGCTCCTGCAGATGCAGCTGCGTCAATGGTCGAAGGCCCTAGTCCACCATCAACCTGCAATTGAATATGTACATGTTCCGAACCTCAGATCCCCACGTTGATATTACCACTCGTGTGCAAGAACTTGCAAACAGATGGATTACGTGTTCATGAATATCATGGGAAATCTCGAAGGAAAAGATAAAGGTCATTATGTAATAGAGTAGAGGGAGCGAAAAGTAACCAAGAGGTAAAAAGTGCTTCCAAAGTCATTCAAGATCAAGTGAGACACAAAAAAACATAAAGTGTGAGAGATGAAACAAGTTCAAGAATTAATTGAACAAAAAAACTCCAATCTGTTGTGAATCAATTTGATGGAAAATGGGTTAAAGCCAAGAAATTAACAACTTCAAATACCTCGATGTTAAGTGATGGATACTTCTGCCTTAGCAGCCGTACCTGGTTTCAGAAAGAAAACAATTAGCCAAAAAGTAGGTGCCAGTTAAATAATCAACACTTGTCACTCGTCAGTCAGAACTAACTCAACATATAGAGTGAAGAAGAGTATTGATACCTTGTCCATCATCTCAGGCATAAATTTCTGTCCTCCAAATCCAGGTTCCACAGTCATTACAAGGACCAATTCCACAGGATTTTCTGCTTCAACCTGTGAACTGAATATTGATAAATAAAACAAAAACAAGAAGCATCCTATAAAGAATAAAATCTAGCGTGATATTGTATCTATCCTCAACTTCAAGGCTATGAATTATACATACAAGAGTCAGGGCACTCTCAAATCATACTTACCACTGTAAACATAAAATCCAGAAGTGCGCGTGCGCCCGTGTAACCAAATGAGAACTAAAAAGGAAGGTAATCATACCAGGGGATAAATCTCTTCAACTGGTGTCCCAGGCCTTAATGCTACACCAGGCGTCATGCCCCCGGATTTTATTCTCTGGACAAGTTCTGGCCAATTATCTGTCCACAATAACAGCTTTTGAGCATGCAGAGAAGAAAATAACATAATTAATGTGGCCAGTGCAAAAAAGCGTGCAAAGAAAATAAACTATAAGGATTAGAAACCTTTAGATATCTCTATATGAAATGTAAAACCAGAAGCACCAGCCTTTCTCAAAGGTTCAACATAGTCAAGAGGATTTGTGACCATCAGGTGGCAGTCCAGATATGCCCTGTATTAGTTTAAAGCAAATGATTAAAAGACAGGTGTATCTTAACAATAGGTGACATATCGATTGAAGAAAAGTTAGATCAGCAAAGCAGCAATGAAATTACTTTGTGTGCTTTCGTAAGCTTTCAATGACTGGGGCACCAATGGTTAGATTGGGGACAAAGTGCCTGCATGCAGGAGAGGAAGAAAGGGGAAGTCCAAATAGTCAAATTAACTAAAATGAAAGTAAACGTAACAACTATTAAATAAAGTGCATGACACGCCACGCATTCATCCTTGGCTTCCGAGAGAGGTTGATAAAGTAGTTTCCATTTGCATGAAACTAATACAAAATATAACTCAAAATATAAACATGAAGTTAGCTTCAAAATTGTAAGTGATGACCGTGATTAATACTACAATTGCAGATTTTTGCAAATGCATAACAACATCCCTATTGTAAAATAAGTCCGTCAACTATATAGCATGAATTCTTATTTGAATGAGAAAAAAATTGACATAAGAAAATGCTAGAGGTCACAAAAAATTGGACTGTCATCAACAAGACAACATTTCCTTTTCTGCATTTTCTTTTTTTTTAACTCCTTTCAATGAAAAGGAGCTCCAATCACAATTTGATGATGGATGGAAAACTCAAGATCTCTGTCATCATTTTGCCGTCACGTCAAGGGCAAGCACATATGTATTTCACTACTTAGCCGAGAAAACTTGAACTATAATGAGAGAGGATAAGCACACCTGATAATTATCATAGGACCCTGGATTCAACACGAAGAAAAAAGAAAAACAATGTTTTCTACTCAAAGCATAAATAACATAACAGTGAAAGGAAGTAGATGTTACAGACAAGAATAACGAGGAAAGGCACAATGATAAAATGGTGTGAGCAAACACGGACACCTACCCATCCTGCAAATGAACCAAAATGAGAAAAAGTATCAGGAATCATGATTACAATGAAATATAAGATATGCAAACACATAAATATTTATGCCATAACAGACCACGCACAAATTGATTCATCCTTTGTTAACTGAGCCATTTTATCCGCATAAGAACAGCTGGGCGGCTGCAAACTAGTTAATGAACCATATTAGAAATTTAGCTCGCGCCGGCTCCTCCTTAAATAGATTTTTCCATGCTGGAAATTTTGTGGTAATAGATTGTGAATGAAAAGACGACCCGTGATATATTGTGTAAAGAATCCCCCTCCCCTTTTCATTGGGTCGAAGTTCAGGCCATCAGCAAATTATTTTCCATGTCTACAAATATTTCCACCCGTCAATGGACAATACCATAACAATCGCAGCATCGACGCTGTTAGTCGAAGAATGCAATATATGAATAGAGTAAAATCCTTCTATTGCTTCAAATACGTTTCTGATAGAAAGCCTGAATCGGAACAAGCGATAAGTCCTAGCTCTTGGATGAACTAAAGTTGAGCGAAAATAAACCAGAACATGGAGTAAAATGGATAGGGAAACAGTCGAAGCTCAGAAAGCATACCATAATATCCATGTGGAGCCAATCGGCGCCATCCTTGAGCATGCGAGCAGCCTCGGAAGCTAAATTAGCGAAGTCCGATGATAGCATGGAGGGTGCAATTTTTGGCGTCACTCCCATGATTGCGCTGCTCTTAGGTTTCGTAATTTCCAAGAGTTCAGGATTGAAGGTCGGACGCGCCGCGATAAACCAGCGTTAGGTTGGTTGCTTCTGGGGGTTGGTGAGATGGGCGAGCCACCGCGCGCACAATGACACAACAGAAAAAGCTTCCCTTTTGCCCCCAAAAGAAAAAGCTTCCATTTTTGGTTTTTCCACAACTCGCACAACGATGGCCGGACCGGCTTGACCGTTAAATGTAACTCAAACGTCGTCGTCTAAGTTTTTGGTTTCTAAGACCGGGCTCAACTTGGCAAGGGGGGAATAGTAGTCCACTGCCAGTGGACGAATTGGTAGTCCAGAAGCTTGAGCCTAAAATAGTCTTTCCTTATTCATGTAGTCCACGAAATGAGCTTTTTTATACGCAAGATCTTGTTTTCAGACATGGGCCGTGCTGTTGTTCAAGGCGGGAGTCCTGTGAATTGGCGTCTACCGCCTAGCCAAAAAAAAAAATTGTGAATTTGTGATGTCTAAAATAATTATAAATATATTTTATATAAATCAGAATAAAACTCTACTCATGTATTTATCTCATATTTCATACCCGGTACTGCGGTAACACCGTGATAACAGGAGGCCAAGAGTATGCCGACTAGCGCTATCAACATCATCGTCTTCCAGTTTTCCTTGATTCCCTGGTCTCCATGGGATTCATCCAATCACTGAGAAAGTCCGACGAAGGGCATCCAACCACGTGGCACCTCATTTCCCATCCCAATATCCCGTCCATCTTTCTCTTAACTTGTCTTATGTAGTAGGTAATTTTGACCTCTTCAGCTGCTGTCGCCTCAAATATCAGAGATAATCGTTTGAATCATATTCGATTTCCTGATCGATGATGCGGTTTTGTCTCTTGTTAGTGTTTTTTATTCTGTTTATAAATATCCAGAAGAAGTATTAAATACTCTTTAATGTGTTTATATACATAATAAAAGTCGCACAAAGAAGTTAAAAAAAGCAATGTACCATCGAAGTTTAGTATATTTAATAAGGAATATATTGAAAATCACTTGAATTTTAAAATAAAATTAATATATTGAACTGATATATACTCTCTCTGTATATATATATATATATATATGAATATATCGGGAGTAACTTATTACTCGTATTGAGAATAGGATAAAATAGAGTCAGACGGGCACTTATGCTCTCATAGTCTCATCAGCGAAAAAAACTAACCCTCCACACGCTCAACCGTTCTCTTTAAAGTTCCCTGATGATCACCGTTGTCACTATTTTTTTTTTTTGGTACAAACCGTTGTCACTATTTAAGCGCTCTAAGCATTGATGGATTATTTACAAGTTGCCCAAAAGAAGTGGGCCCAAACTAACAAGGGGCAAATAACTTGTTTTTCTTAAGCCATGACTACGACTCCCCCCCCTGGGGGGTGGTAAAAAAGGTGAGTAGGTGACAATGTTTGGATATCTTCCCAGGTAACGACGACGGTGGGCCCCTTTTTCATTCTCGGGCGCGAGATGAATGAGGCAATAAAAATTAGAGAGAATTACAGTGAGGTCCCAAGTAATTAAAAAACAAGTCTTAGAGGTTGTCATTCTCACTGTAGGACTTGTTATTTCAGGCTGCTCAAGTTGTTATTTGGGACTTTGTAGTGATTATTTCTCTTGTGTGGGACTTGAATGTAATTTTCCCTAAAAATTAATCAAATTGGATTTTTTTTAAGATAAAACAAGGAGGAGGAGTTCAAGGGCCCTAGTAATTGCTTTTCAAAGCATTCTATGGAAATGGAGACAAATTTTTTTCACAAGTTTATTTTTGAAATCAAATATGGAAAATAAAGAAATCAAATAACGCATACCCATGTGACCCGACGAAATGCAATACTTGCTATCTAGCAGTTGCCTCAAGTGATTTTGCCTGTCTATGATGTAACTATATACATTAAGTTCGGGTTGGCATCACTTTCAGTAACTAATTGGTCCTTTTCTTTTGAAAAAGAATACGAAGTTGAAATCAAGGCCCAAAAAAAAAAAAAAAAAAGAAATCAGGGTCACACGGGTTGGTGACGAGGGCGCGTAGAGTTGGCGTGGCAAATTAATGCTGATACCACGTCTGAATTGACACGGAATTACTCGTACTGGTATACGTTGACCCAACGCCGAGCAACAAATTGCCAACCATTGTATGTTAGTTATAAGGAAAATTTTCAGTTTTAAATGCAGGTCACTCGTAGTATATCAAATGCTTATTTTTTATTTTTATTCTTATTTAATTTCTACTAAAAAGAGAAAAATATGAAAATAATTTGCAATATAGAAAAATTTAAAATTTAAAATGGTACGCACTGCAAGTAAGTTAGTACCGGAGATGGGAGTAATCGGTAATCTTGTATTCATAGTCATGCGCGGTGGTGAAGAGTGCGCGTAAAACTGATGTGGCAGGGGGCGATGCGCACGGGCAAAGTCTGGGGGGATGGCTGGGCAAGAGTGAAAAGACAGCGAAGTTGTCATCAATTATGGAGTTGATTATAAATGAGATAAGATATGACTATACTTGCCCGTCCATGGCGTGCCCTCATTTCGCACAAATCCACCTCTCCAGGTAGCTGCGCCAGACCCCCAGCATTTTCCATTATTCCCACCTACCAGTTGAATAACTGCCACCACTATTATTATACTACTATGCTCTTTACGTATTTTTTATATTTATTAATTTTTTTTAAAATCATATTTAACGATGATAACCTCTCAATAATAATTGAGCATGAATATTAAAAAAATGATTAGAATGTCGTAGTTATTATAATTACTTAATTAGTTAACTTATTTAATTTTTTAATCTAATTAACATAATTAAACATGTCTTAGTATTATTCAACACGGCGTCCTTTGGATTCTCAGAAACCCACCCCACACCACCTTTTGTTACTCCCCCCCAAAAAAATTAAAATAAAAAAAATAGATAGTTGAAGTCACACCAAGCGTTACCGCTAAACTGATGTGCTCGCCGGCCGCTGTTAATCAGTGGCCAGTTTGTTAATGCCCTTTTATTTTATTTCGTTATTTATTTCCTTTTTTCCTTTTTTTTTTTTTTGGTTTCCCCGGCTTCGGCTGTGATTGACATTAAAGCCGGATCACGGTGAAGAGCGAAACTACCGTGAAGCTCTCAAGTTGCGTGCCTTCTTGTCCTTCTAATTTTCCACCTATCATTCGCTGCTATCTTTTTGAACCTGGCCCTTTTTCGGCCAACTCTTAAACCTGGTCGTTGTTCATTAGTTCTGTAAAATACTACTACTGCGCAGACAAATGGGTCGTGTTTAGGCCATAAACGTGCCCACGAGCCGAATTATATATGGATGGCATTTTCATAAGTCAAAGTTATTATACTCCTCTTGTCCTAAATATAAGACCCTTATACTAGTGTGTATGAGAATCTTATATTTAGGACCGGAGGAGTATACTGGTACTGCTTTTCATTTTTAATATAAAAATTAATTTAATATTTAATTTGATTCTAAATATAATATTTTAATTCACTTTATTTCTCATATTTATTTATTTATTTAAGATGATTCTCGTAGAAAGTGCACATTTAAAGACTTTATCAAATGATAATTCTGACTAATATGTATGATTAGTAAAAGTATTTTAAGAAAGACGATACCTACTCATTATAAATAATTAACTTATCTACTTTTTTAATCTGCTCAAATTAGTTGACTGGCTCTTATATTAAGGATCAAATGTACTATTAAGGACTAGAGGTCTAGTCTTTAATATAAGAGCTTGTTTAACTTTTATTCTGGTTCTAAATATGAGATGTTCATTTATCCTGTCTCTTATATTTATCTATTTTTTCATGATAGTTCTTGTAAAAATATTAGTTCTAGTTAATATAGTTAATGAGTAAAGATATTTTAGGCTGAACAACATCTATTTATTACGAATAACTAATCTAATTAATTTTTTTAATCTACTTAAATTAATTAATTAGCTCTTACATTAAGAATCAGATGAAGTATATACACACGCTGAACAGCACAACTTCCATATCACTGTAGATTAATACTTTTTATCTAAACCACGATCACTATTAGGTTAATTTGCATTAAAATATGACTCCATCACTGATACTCGAATTACTAACTCAGTTGATTAATACTTAGTCTATTGTAATTTTAGTACTCATCCGATTCTAAATATAAGACTCTTATACTAGTATGTATAAAAGTTTTGTATTTAGGACAGGAGAAGTACTTTTCTGTTCTCTTATTTAATGTAAAAATTGGCACCGGATTTTATGCATATTGTAAGTTCATATAAAAAATGATCATAGTGTTGGTAACCGCAGAACAGCTAGCTTTTTGGAAATCCCATTCAGCTACTCTATTTAAGAGGGAAAATGAGAATAAAATGAAAGGAATAGAAGAAAGCGACAAATAACTAACCCGCCTTGAATCATTTAATGCCCAATTAAGTATAATGACGATTCACTGTGATCACCATACAAATAAAGCAGTTGTCATTCCATGAACTCATGCCCCATGCCCCATTATGTCCATCCCCATCCTATGTTCATACGCCCGACAATATATACGCCCCGCCCGTTTTCCCCCAAGAGCAAACCATTTAGTTCATAATATTAATAGTGCAGCTGAATATAATATTTATAATTAGATTTGAAAAACAGATAGAAAATGCGGCGATATTATTGATTCCATAGCTGTAAATTAAATTGAGTCGAAATGTGGCGATGTATAGTGACGGCTGAAGTTAGGAATCTCGCGTGAATTCAGCACTTGGAGATGACATTATTGTTACACGTCTACATCGTTTTTCGATCGTTTTCAGGCTGACGCTAACCCAGCTCATTTTATGTCACAATCTCTTAATTTATTTCTCTCCAATAATAACAAAGTGGAAATATGTGAATCCTAAAGTTGAATATTGATATGACTGCAACCAGAAACGAGATTTGGTTTTATCCATTACTTATCCTTAATATAAAATTTGGTTTGACTATTATTTTGATTATAAATATAAAATCTCATTATACTCTGTCTTTTATATTTATTTATTTTTTTAAGATAGTTTTTCTAATAATGATAGTTTTAACTAACAAACTTAATTACTATAGATATTTTAAAGAAAACAACACCTGTTTATTATAAATAACTAATTTAATTTATTTTTAAAATCTATTTAAATTAGTCTATCAACTCTTCGGAATATTTGTTAATGCCATTTGATTATTTGTCTCCTTTTGTCTTCTTCTGATCAATCATCCCATGTGTTAATTTAAGCTGACTCATCCCTGGTCGGCCGGCTAGAATTGTCATTTCACTTGCTCTTTCTATTTCTCGGTCTGGAAGTAGCTCGCAATTTCTCCTTTTGATTAAGTATGACAGCCGCCCAAACGAGCATAATTCACGCGAAAATTACTGGCCCCGACCTCAATATTCAACTTACCTTTTCACTGTTGGGGTGAAGAAGCTAATTAATAATTCAGGACAGATCAATTAATATGTGTCAATCTAGAGTATTTTATATGGCTAACATGGTAACATGCATTTATTGAAACCTAATTAAATCTAACGAGGTCGATTTACATACATTCATTTCAAAATGGGAAATTATGATGCCCATAATCGTGTGATGAATTTTTTCCCCCAAAAAGAACAAAGCGTGATGGTTTTGTTTGGCCATTATTTCTGTAAGATGCGCGTACCGTATGTGATATAATAATGAGTTTTCACATTACAACTCATCTTTCACTAGAAAATTTATTATTCCCTAATATTTTTCTCATGCGTAAATACATATAAAGAGACCTTTATTTATTTATTTTTGCCAACTATAAAGAGACTAGTCAAATTAGCCATACACTATATTAAATAATCTACCATTTTTTCCCTGCTGCCGCTGGTCAAACTGCACCCAAAGGAAGTTAAAAAGTTACAGCAGTGTCTGTGTATAGACTTGACAAGTTTGACAGTTGCCAGTTTCTTTTTTCTTTTTCCTTTTTTTTAACGTATTCTAATATTTTCTAATATTTTTATTATGCATCCAAATTACACCGCCAGTCCACTGCTGCTCTGATTAATACGTAGCAAATACGCTTCAAATTAGTTAAATACAATTAATATGTAACAAATACAGTTTTTTTTAAATATACTCATATATATAAATAGATAAATGTGAGAGAGTAATGATAAGATAAATGAGGAAAGAGAATATATTAAATATATTAAATTAAAGGTAAAATAAGTAATACTAGTACTGTATTAAATGTTCAGACAAACTCAAAAAAAATCTTATAAAAAGAAAGAAACCATCCAAAAAAATTAAATCTTACAATAAAAGACAGAAGAAGTAATAATTAAAGAAAAATTACTATGCTTGTTTGGAAGTGCAATGGCAGGACCACTGTTGTATTGGAGGCTTTCCGGAAAGCCAAAAGATTCCACTCTTAATAGAGAACCACACAAATCGTTAGTATTTACATTTTACAGTTGTTAAAATTCATTTTTGAATTTTCTAATCCAGCTTTGGCCCAAAAAACCAATTTCCTAATCCAGCGTACTCATCGTTTAACGCAAACGTTTTAAAAGAGCAAGTTCCCATGAACATGATAATTCAAATCAATTACTACGAGGTTAGCTCTCCCTAATCGGGGAAAAATATCTCATTATTATTCCCTAAAGTTTCGATCTTTCGTTATTACGAACGGACTCTGAAATCCTTGCAGAAACTGTTCACTTTCTGGATTGGTGGGGCCCATCCCTGTGAATCGCCATACGATTCATTTATACAGTAGCAGTAGCACACATTGCGACATAACCTCCCTTTCAAGCCCAATCTTCGTTTCCTTTCACTCATTGTCTCATTCTTCTCCCCCCAGTGGGCGAGTTTTCTTCTGAAGGCATTTTCCTCGCCTTTGTTATAACGCCATAAAAAACATCCTCCACTTCCTCCTTCGTTCTTCTTTCTCTTGCGTCTCCTTTACCCCTTGCTCTCTTTCTCTTTGGATAACTCTTACCGGGGTCTGTGATGATCGGAAACTAATCGTCTTTTGAGTGATGGGTTCTTGTGCTTCAGTCCGTAGAAATACGGAGGCGGACATGAAACTGGGGCTGTCATTCGGGTCAAAGACTGAGAATCTGATGATTCCACCATCGCCTGTTAAGGAAAAGCACCATGATGACAACTTTCGGATCGACGATATCAAGTCTCAGAGGTCGCCGACTCGGTCAACCACTGCCTTCAGAGACTATGGTATGGTCCTTGTGGGTTTGTTACTTCAAAAGCTGTCTGGCTTATAAGAGGTTATTGGGTTGTTTTCTACTTTTGCTTGGCTTTTTGAAGGACCCCAACTTTATTTGATTAATCGTCTTCACTCTTCTCTCTTGATACATATATACTATTTTTATTAATATATTTCTTATCAGGAGATAAGCTCAACACTCTTGTGAATATTTCTGCGATTCCTCTTAACGTATGATTTAAGTGGTGTGGGGTGTTTCAAGGTTTTATTTTGTTATTTTACATGTTAGCAGAAATCCGAACCTTATTATCCGATCGTTTATTGAATGTTTGTGCGGTGTGCGGAAAGATGCTTTTTTTCTCAATCTGCTCTAAAATAGAAGAGAATATATTCTGTTCGTATGGTCTGACTTCTTCTGATATGGTGTACACGCTTGTGGATTATATTGAATGAACACCATCAAAGCAATGGTATTGGTGCTAATTAATCGGGTTCATTGTGCACTTATTATGACAAATTTTGTCCGGATCGATTTGTTACATTCCTGCTGCTTAAAACTAGGCATTCCAAGATACTGAGAATACTTCTTTCTTTTCTCTCAGCATATACGGTGATATTGCCTATATGAATTTGCTATCCTTGTAAAATGAGAAAGCAAAGCAACAAAGTTTCCATGAAGTTATATGGTTATATTTCACTACCTGAACTTGTTCTGTTCCTGCTGGTTTGTTTGGAATGGAAAGCTGGGTTTACCTAAACTCCTTGTATCTTGCCAGACACCATCTAGTCCCTAGAGTAATGTTCAGCGACATTTTATTGGGTGCAAAGCTGTGTATTTGGCCCTCAAATACTGGAATAACATTAATTTGCATAGCTGTAATCTTATGCTTCTTGACTGCTCCTTGTGCCGGACTGTAGGAATGGACCACCATAAGATGAGGGCTTGGTTTATTGAGGGGGAAGAAAGCAAGAGCTTTCAGTTTCTGTAAGTTAGATGAAAGATATTTATTGGCTGTAAAAGCTTGCTCTGTATTGACACAGAGATGAGGACAATACTGTGTTGGTGTCCATTTAATTAATGCCTTCTTATAGCAAAATGTGAGATGGGAAATTAGTGTTGGACGTGTAAGCCATATTTACAATCTGCTGCATATTTTGTGATTGTTACATCATAAGTTGTCAGTGTGAATTAATAGCAAGTCCGCCCTTAAAACCAAGTCACCTGTAAACATCCAATGTAGAAACAAACTATATGTGACGCACTTGTGAGCAGATTGTTATAACTTGGAATTTTTCCTTTATACAGGTAGCAAAGAGGAAACATTTTTTGACTCCAAGCCCTGCTTAGACTCTGACTGTGAAGACGATTTCTACAGCGTTAATGGTGGTAAGAATTCCATGCTTTTCCTAATGATACTTCCCACTTCTCAGCCACGTTAAACTTTGCATTGAATATATGCGAAGGGAAAAAATCAAAGCAAGCCAAACATGGCTTAAAACGAAAATCTTTATTATTCTAAATCAGTGAAGGATAATGAGACCCTTATTCATCCAAATGAGCTTTGATTTCTTAATGTCTTTTTCCTCTTTTTCCAGACTTTACTCCATCTCGTGGCAACACTCCAGTTCACCCATTTGGAACCTCTAATGTGAATAAATCTCCTTTTGAGAACAGAACTCCTGGTTCTACGCCTGGGCGACCTCCATCTCGAAAGAAAAAGAACCTGTTGGAGCTTTTTCGAGAGAGTATTAGAGAGGACCATTATCCTGATGTAAACCACTTAAGTAACCAAAACATGGGTAATGAAAAGCAGGAAGCAAAGTTAAGTATAAATGACACTCTTTCAAAATCTTCAGGAAGCACTCCTTACATCTCAGGGACTAACTCTGTGTGTGCCAGTGAAAGAACCCCAAATGGGGATCCTGTGTCAACCAAAGAGAACTCAGTGAAATCGATGCAGGGTTGCCTTCCGAGCTTGGTTTCATGCCGTAGCTTCAGGGAGAGGAAGAGGAGGATGAGTCCTGCAGTAGTAGCCAATGGAAAAATTTGAATCCTGTTGGAATCTGATGAAAATAAAGTGTCTTACTCGCTGAAGGTTAGACTGTTTGATAGTGTATATCTTAAGACATAAGGGTAAAGAACCCAGACGATATGAGCTGACATCTTGTATATCGTTAAGAGGGAAAGATGCTCTATGCCAATATTGCAATAGGATTTTGCTGTCATAATCAATCAAAGTGGCTGTCTCTTGTTGGACTGTGTTTTTTATAATGAAATTTATTTGGTTGACAACCTGCAATTCAGCGTTCGTGACTCGAGCGTACATTAATGGAAAGTTTTGAATCATTTATATTATTCTTGTCTAAAATAAGAGCTTGGTGCCAGCAATCAATGATTAATAGCTGCAGGTGTGATTAGCTGAAGTTGTTGGGAGTCGAGGTCTTGCTAAAATTACTAATTGCTCAACAATTTGAGGGTGGGAGAAGTGTTTTGTAACTTCATTTGGACAAGGAACGGTTGATTCCAAATATGGAATCTAGTTAGTTAGAGGGCGTTTGGCATTCTTGGAAAGTAATTAAAAAAAGGTGTTTTTACATAAGTGATACAAAATTCTTCTCATATTTTCCCCTCTTATACAGTAAAGTCATCTTTAAAAAGTTAATCTAGACACCTCCTATTTACAAATACAAGACTTTAATTTTGTCTCCTTTAATGTTTTTTCTCACATTATCTTTAATCGATTTCAAAGTCATTCTCACTCTTTCTTAATTCTTCCCACTTGGCCCTCACGGCAAAACCAGGATGTTTGGATTATTTTGAATATCCAATCAGCCACTATATAATAATAGTAAATAATTAATTTAACTTCAAATATCTATAAATTAGTTAAATAGGCTTTTATATTTAGAAGAGGGAAAAGTATTATTTTCCAATGTTTTTTCCGACGGACTGGGCTAAAGAATATGTTTTCCTATTTTTTCGCAGTGCAAGGTAAATGGATTTTTTGCCCATGTTTAATCCATGGTTAAAGAATTCACTACATGCCACCAAAAAAAAAAACGAGACGCATGCACCCCATTGCAACACCTCAGAATTCTGAAGTTGGGCCAAGTTGGGCCTTTTGGTCATTTTGACAAAAGGCCGGAATTCACGAGCTCATAAAACCTCATGCGCGGACTATTTAAATATCAAATGGCCCAGAAAAAAACGGCCGGAAAAAGAAAAGGCTTATAAAAGAAGAAGCAAGAGATTTAAGAGACAAAACAATTGTCACCAATAGAATTGAGTCTAGCGAAAAAAAATTAATTTCTCATACGTAATGAATCAAGATTCCAATAAAAGCATATCTATGTTTTAGCCAAAAAAAGAAAGATTCTCTTAAAGATTGAGAACCGAATGGCTAAGAAAAGCCATAATTAAACAAGATCATTCTTCATTAGATCGAGATTTTCTTTTTAAAAAAAAGGAAAATATTTTCTTGCGTGTACTGTAACATTGTTCGAGACCATGAATGCGAAGTCATTTTACACGGATATGACCCCAGCTTGCGATGGGAGAAGCAAGCTCGTGCATCCATTGTTCGGTATAAAATGAACACTCCAGAAATTAAGCAGTCTTGAGTCTTGACTAACTTTCATGAAAGCAGTATATCTTAATTTCCACTGTTGACCGAACTTTATTTTCTCACCTCAAGAACTATTTCTGTGATTCAAATTGAATGCGCACTTCTTTTACATGTCGAATAAAAAGAAGATATGGCTTTAAATCAATTTTCCTTCGAACTTGAAGCGCACGGATTCTCAAGATGAATGGTAATCAATCTCAGAAGCAGAACACGAAGTCTCTCTTTCTCAATCGGCTTCGTCCTAACAGAGGAAGATGGACCCAAAGCAGAATTCAAAGTAGATAAAAACCAAACCCATGCCCATACCATGCTAGCAGAGCTTCAGACTTTGCTCTGGCATGACTCTGTTGATTCAAGTCCAAGTCCATGAGATCCTACTTTGCTCATCGATAAGAAAGAAGACCCTAAATGGGTCCCCCACAATGTGAACAAATGTTTTACTTTTGGCCAATAAATATTATAGTCAGTTGCAAAAGTAAAGAGATTCAAAAAGAAAGCAAAGCAACCAGCTTGGTTTCCCATCCTGTGCCTCTTTTTCTGTTTCATCCCATCTTTCTTCTCCTACATATAGGGCACCCCTCAATCTCAATTCTGCACCAAGCATCGCTCCCCAGGGCTCCATGGGTTTTCTTGCTGCTTTCTCTCTTTGCGTCCTACTCATAACTGTTGAAGCTCATGGCGCATTGGCATCGCGGAGAGCTTTCTCTGCTCCAACTGAGCCTCTAGCAGATGGCATATGTGCATCTTCGGTCACTGTGCATGGCTACAAATGCCATGAACTTAAAGTAAGATTTCAGAGTCATGATATCTTAAAACTTGGTTAACAAATGCTTAAAAGAATGAATCACGTTTGTGTTACAGGTTACAACCAAGGATGGGTACATTCTTAGTTTGCAGAGGATCCCAGAAGGCAGAGAAGAGGCAAGAGAACACAATGCGACGAAGAAGCAGCCTGTCATTATACAACATGGAGTGCTCGTGGTAAGTGTCCCGGTGATCCATCTTCCAGATTCAATCTGATATAACTTGTATCGGTAACTGGAAATCCAGCCAGACAAATATCATATGTATCTGCTTGAAGTTGACGCTGTCCTTGGTCCAAGTGACCAAAAGGGTCCACTTCCGCGTTCGTTACACTATGGCTCTAAAGTCGCTTTCTAGGTTACCCTTTTTCCCTCCTTGCCTATAAATCATAGCGCGAGTGACGCTCATCATGTGTCGGGTCGGGTTACTTTAACGTTGCCCTTGATGGGTAAGCTAAGCGCCTAAGCTACCACATGATTAAGCTGCCTAAAGATGTTTGACGCATAGGGTGTGTTCCGGGATCTTCGGACATTGATCCCGTAACTCTCTGTTAACATCCTGTTTCAGAAGTGTTTTGCCCCCTCCTGTAGGACAGATTCCAAGCACAGGCATGAAATTCGAGGATAACATTTTATCATCAGCATATGCATACTAGGTACTAGGTAGCCGTTACTCTTGACTCTTGATTATGTGCAGGGAAGCAGGGCAAACGGCTATTATAAGTGGACATGTAGCAATCTGTCTCCTTCGTACGGAATATTGTATTTCAAAAGCAGAATAATGAAAGCTGGAATCTTATAATCTACAACAAATGCTACATAAATGATCACTTGCCATAATTAAATGGCCGCACTTTCAAATGTGCCCTTGTCGCATCTGGCTTCGTGGAAGACAGATGATCATGGCTTCAAGTTTCTTCTATGTTTATCTATAGATTCCCACGCCTAGCAGCAAAGCAAATGTTAAATGGGTCGGTGCGACGTGCAATTTTAGTCGAATCTCATCTTTCATGAAGCATAATAATTATGTTGCAAGGAGTTATGATTATGGCTCTGATGCTAAATATATATTAATAACATCGCGTGCCTGCCTTGATGATCACTAAACGACAACGTTGGAGCTGTTGCAGGATGGAATGACATGGCTTCTGAATCCACCGGAACAAAGCTTGCCCTTCATTCTGGCTGATAATGGCTTCGACGTATGGATTGTTAACACCAGAGGAACCAGATACAGCCGCCAACATATCTCTCTGGACCCTTCCAGCCCGGTTTGTTTTTATCTTTCTTTTCTTTTTTATTTTTCTTTTGCTGTAATTTTCCAGGAAAAAAGGTTTCCTTTTGATTTTAAATGGTGAAAATGACAGGACTTCTGGAATTGGTCTTGGGACGAGCTGGTCAGCTATGATCTACCAGCCGTTTTTGATTACGTGTTCAGCCAAACAGAGCAGAAGATTAATTACATCGGCCATTCTCAGGTACAGCATCACAAACCCTGTGTATGAAATATGAACCAGCTGAATAGTCACTGAAATCGAAAACCGTGTTTGCCAGGGAACTTTGATAGCTTTGGCATCTTTCACAGAAGGGAACTTAGTGAACCAGCTGAGATCAGCAGCCTTGTTGAGCCCCATTGCTTATCTGAGCCATATGAGTACCGCACTTGGAGTTTTGGCTGCGAAATCTTTCGTTGGTGAGGTAAAAAAGGGCCGGGGGGGGGGGGGGGAGACCATCAGTAACCTCTCTTATTATTATGCAACCATAAATACTTGAGACATAAAGGCAAACCAGTGACATTTCCTAATTCATGGTATTATTCCTTGTATTTTGCCAAACAGATCACTACCTTGTTCGGTCTGGCAGAGTTTAATCCCCGTGGGTGAGAAAATACTACAACTTTACTCCATAAAACTAGAAGCCATCCTTGTTACAACTTGAAAACCCCATTTATCAAATGTAAATGTAATCATTATCATGTTTAGGTTGCCTGTTGCTGCTTTTGTGAATGCTCTCTGCGCTCACCCAGGAGTAGACTGCTACGACTTGTTAACTGCACTGACTGGTAAAAATTGCTGTCTCAACTCTTCCACCGTTGATCTGTTCTTGAGTAATGAACCCCAGCCGACATCAACAAAGAACATGGTCCACTTGGCTCAGAGTAAGATTTTACCTTTGCCAGTGCAGGTTATTATATATCCATTAATTTCAGATATGACTGACCAGGACAAGCAATTTGTGGCAGCTGTTAGGCATGGGGTTCTGGCGAAATTCAACTACGAGAGACCAGACTACAATATAATGCATTATGGAGAAGCATTCCCTCCGCTTTATAACCTTTCCAACATTCCCCATAACCTCCCTCTCTTTGTTAGCTATGGAGGACGAGATGCTCTATCTGATGTTCTTGATGTTGACAGCTTACTTGATGCCCTCAAGTTCCATGATGTTGATAAGCTTAGTGTTCAGTTCATTAAGGACTATGCTCATGCCGACTACGTCATGGCATTTAATGCCAGGGACTTAGTGTACAATGAGGTTCTTGCATTCTTTAAGCGCCAGTTTGATACTTAATGCAGCAAAACTCGGCTTAAAAGTTCATACTACTACTACTACATCTTACAAAAATGCGATGTATTGGGTTATCTATATGATCAAATCTAAGTTATCTAGTTACTGATCAACTTTCTTCTTTTTTTCTATTTATTTTTTGGGCTTTAGCAACTTCATTTTTGCATGGGCATGATGCCTTCAGAACCCATCTATCCGGTTGGACTCCTGGCCCAGGCTAGGCTGTCTCTGCTTCAACTTAAACTACCTCTAGTTCATGCTCAGGTTAATACAAAACAAAGTAAATGCTGAAGAAAATGAATCTCATTAGCCAGTTGGCATCTAAAATGCTCCCTGCATTATCACAAAACTATGTCTAAATTGAAATTACCCTGTGCGATTGCACAGAATCATGAGACAAAACTAATTTAAAAAAAATATTGGATATGATAAATTAAGATAATGCACAAAGAAATGGTCATACTACTATAAAACGTTCTTTTATAAATAATATTAGATAGATTGCCAATCGAAGCAGGAAAATGAAAATTTTCCTTCACAAATACTTTCTGCTTCCATAATGCAACTAATGAACCAGCCGTCAGATAAACTAACTAAACTTATGCACGTTATACATTAACTTACTCCCCTTACAAGCTTTGATCGAAATTTCCAGATAAGTCGGTCGTCTGAATTGAAAATTTGAGTTTCCAGACTAGCCATGCTTAAAGAGAAGTATGATCCCTTTGTTTGAACGCTAAGCTTTGGCAGTCTTGGTATCTACCAGAATTTGCTTAGCGGGCAATCTAAATTCTGAAACTAGAGTGTGAGCCACAAAAGAAGCTTGCCTTTGTTTTGCCCTGGAATTAAAGAAATGACCAGGTGATGTTGATCCAACTAAGCTGAACTCTTTATGTTATACACTACATATTAACAATTCAGCACGTTACTTTATAACGACCCCCAATTTAAAATTGTTTTCGGCTGATAATATGAAGAAACAAACTGTTTTATGTTGACAGCGAGGCTTAATTTTCTTACCGCTAGCCTGTATAAATAGTTGGAGATCATTAATCCTCGAACACAACCCAGCGAACCAGAAGTAACAGAGCAGAGGGAGAGACCCACGAAAGAAAAACATGGGGCGGAAGAACACAATCCTCTTGGCATTGATCGCTGCTTTGTTCGCAAAGGAAGCCTTTGCAACTCAATACGATGTTGGTGGAAGCCAAGGTTGGGATGAATCCACAGATTTTAACACATGGTCCTCAGGAAAAACATTCAAGGTCGGCGATCAACTCGGTACGTTTCTTTTTCCTCCATAATTCGTTAAAGCTTCTTCCTTTACCCGGTTTCATTAAAATTCATAAAACATCAAGTCTTGTCTAGCAGTTTTCAAGTACAGTTCTGGGTTGCATAGTGTGGTTGAACTGGGAAGTGAGAGTGACTTCAAGAGCTGTGATATTAGCAATCCAGTGAACTCCATGAGCAGCGGGAACGATGTCGTAAAATTGAACAACGCAGGCACGAGGTACTTCGCTTGTGGTACCGCCGGCCACTGCGCACAAGGCATGAAGGTGAAGATTGCAACAGTTGCTGGGAATGCCCCCTCCACGCCTTCTTCTTCTTCTTCTTCGTCGTCGTCGTCGTCGGCGTCTTCCCCTGCTTCTACTTCTGCAGCTTCAGCTTCACAAGGACTTACTGTTTACGTCATGCTAATTTTTGCATTGTTATTTGTATTGAGGATCTGAAGAGCGGAACTCTGCGTTTGAGGAGACAAAATCGGGTTTTAATTTTAGAGTCATGAGTGTTATGTATGATTATCGAGAATTGAGAGCAGAGTTAGATATATATTTCCTCTTGTTTTCTTGTGTATTCCCTAGCTGAGTAAAAAGTTGTTGTGACTTGTGAGATAACTTTGGATCTGGATTGGTTTTCCTTTCTTGTTTTGGGGCCAACGTTATATTATCGTCCACATCTAATGAGAGAGCGCCATGCCTCATGGTAGTTAGCTTCAACGCAATAACGACCAACGATAAATCTCACTTGTTCGTTGTAAATTGTAACTTGTCAGTTATCACACGTGTCGACCGTTCGCAATACCACATCCTTTTGTCATGCATATATATTGCAGGGATTTATGGGAGAATTTTTTTTTTTAAAAAAAAAACTACTCCAAATAAAACAAATCTAAAATCTTTTATCTTTATAAGTTAAACTACAAGTTTTTTCGTCGCTCTTTGCATCATTGCATGGATTGTTAATATAAAATATAAGAAACTTTTAAAAATTAGTCATTAAATTATTTTTAACTTTCATCGATTGAGATTATTAAGATCAATTAAAAAATATAATTACAATAAAACATTACTTGCCATTAATAATAATATAGTTTTTTTTTGGTATTTTTGTGCAAATGGACGAGTGTACATTTGCAAATTTTTTTTTTTTTGGGGGGGGGGGGAGAACGAAGGGCCAGGCTTCAGAGCGCTTCAGAGCAGTGACCAAATGCAGAGTTTCATGCTCCTGTTACGAGCCACACCGAAAAAGTGCGATATAAAGAGAGCGATGCAATGCCGGAAGGGACGAGTCTGATCAACCACGTGATGGAGGCCGCTTCAGGGCCTCATTTCTCCGGCCTACGCCTTGATGGCCGCAGTTCGTCTCTACCTGCTTCATACTCATCTCCTGTCCGTCGTTTCTCTGCTTCTGCTATTGATTGCTCAACCTTAGCCCCTGATTCTCCTCACAAACAGCCTTTCGTAATCGGTAATTTTCATACTTTTCGCTACATCATGAGTGTTGATCTTTCTAGGCGTATTGCAAAGAATTCCGTCAGTTGTTTCTGAAACTAATTGTCCTTTTTAAGTTTTAACCATGCATGATATCCCCCCCCCCCAAAAAAAAAATCATTCTCGTGCTGACCGGTTTCGCGCCACATTCATTTCAATTCCATTACGGTGTTGGTGGATTTAATGTATAGGAGTTTCGGGAGGTACTGCTTCGGGTAAGACCACTGTATGTGACATGATTATCCAGCAGCTTCACGATCATCGAGTTGTGCTCGTCAATCAGGTTTTCTGTCTTGGCTTTCTTTCCTGGCAACTTTTTGGTGTAATCACTAATCAGTTTGATATTTATCACACGAGGAAAATTATATTCTAACGCTTTTACTTTTCTGATCTGTTTGATTTGCGTGGTTTTTAGGATTCATTTTATCGTGGTTTGACGCCTTCAGAAATGGAACGTGTGCATGAGTACAATTTTGATCATCCCGGTAATCTATATATGTATATACATATTTTTCATACCGGATATATGTATATATTTGATTTATTAGCATTGGTCGTGTTTAGTTTGTATGAATTTATTCAACTACTTGGCTGTTCTGTTATTCTGCTTGTTGATAGAAGCCGGCTTCTTGATTCCATCCCTTGCTAATTGGTAACTACCCCTTGGTTTTCCTTTTAGACGCTTTTGACACCGAGCAGCTTTTAGATTGCATGCGAAAGCTCCTAGGGGGCCACAGCGTCCAAGTCCCAATTTATGACTTTAAGAAGCACCAGCGCTCTACTGATAGTTTTCGGCAGGTATCAAGCCAAACTCATGTTGAAGGATATGCTTGCATTTGGTAAATATTAAATATGATATCTAGAGTTCTGGGGCAGGTAGATGTTTAAGCATGTCAATTGCCTTTTTCTTTCCCAAATTGCTTGGCTTGACTCTTAAAAAATCTTCCTTCATCGATGGAATACGCAAAGTTCCTTCATTCATTCCAATTCGAATTATCTATAGTCTTTAATTGTGTATAAATTTTCGTTATGACCATTGTACTCTGGACGTCCACTTGTCAAATCACCAGGATGCCTTAACATATATTGGACATATACTGATGCACACTTGTTGATCTCTTGCCATATTTTATTGGCACACAAGTTTAATAACTTATCATATTGTTTCATTTCACCTTTTAGCTTTCTGGATCTCTGTTTCGTTTTTCTTGCTTTCCCTTTGCTAAGTTGTAGTTGACGTTATTTGATAGGTCAATGCTTCTGATGTCATCATATTAGAGGGAATTCTTGTTTTCCATGACCATCGTGTACGTGATCTGATGAACCTGAAAATTTTTGTTGATTCAGGTTTGATCCATTTCTATTTTCCACCCTACTTCCTAATGATGAACCTGAATATAAGCTTTGATTGCTATAGCAGAGCATGGTTTCGGCTCAATGCTTTAATGGCTTGTGTTCTGAAATGTGTGGGCATTAATGCCTAGAATGCTTCATATCGTACTCTGTTAATAACTGTCATGACGCATTTCCGAGTCTATAAAGGTTTAAGTTTACCATCAATTTTATTTCACATTCCAATTGGCTAGATCATAGGGCCTTGTCTTATGAAGAGTCCTTGTAATCACTTATGTATTCGGAATAATAAACAAAATAATTCAAATCTTTTCCTTTTCTTTTTATAGGTAATGATAACACCACTGATTTGTCTGATTCTCGGTAAAATTGTATTTGTTCATTAATTTCCTGTAGATGCGGATGTAAGACTTGCTCGTAGAATTAGACGTGATACAGTTGAAAGAGGTAGGGATGTAAGCTCTGTTCTTGAACAGGTAAGCCCAGTATTTGAATTAGTATTTTGTTGCCATTGCCAGGGATAGAATCTTCTATTTTTATAAATGTTTTATTTTTGCTAAAATTCAAATATTTCAATAGAACCATAATTTCATAGTCCTCAAGAAAGTGAGTTAATCACAATTTATTGTGCCTAAGGTGCCCAAATTTTGATTCATGATTTTCCACTGCAGTATGCAAAGTTTGTCAAACCTTCTTTTGATGATTTTATTCATCCATCAAAGAAGTATGCTGATGTGATCATTCCACGAGGAAGTGATAATCATGTTGCCATTGATCTGATTGTACAACATATCCAGACAAAACTTGGTCAACATAATCTGTGCAAGATATACTCTAATCTGTATGTTATTCAGTCAACATTCCAGGTAGTGATGTGCTTCGATGGTGAGAGCATCACCTAATAACCAATTTTTATTCATCACTTTCAGACATCCTTACTACCCTCAGAAGCAGACTGTTATGCCTCTTTTATAGAACATATTAAAGAATTATCACTAATCGTATTCCTATTTTGTTTTTCTTCCTGAATGTAGAAGGAAAAGAATATGTTCTGATTCTTAAGCTTTACTTGTTTGCATTGTCAGATCTTTGATGAGTTTATACAAGGAACTGTAGTTTCGGAGTGCAGAATTACTTGTTCTACGATAAACAATAAAAGAAGTAAGATTAAATCGGAGTTGGATTTGTCATAATTAGGTAAAGAAAATAGAATTTTAGGGTAATCAATTTCAGAAGCCATGTGCTGTCGCCGGAAAGGGTAAAGTCACATCATATAGATGCACAGATTATGACTGAAGAAAGTGAAAAATCCCTCCCTGGTTCCAAGAATGAAAGGAACGTAGGTGATAGTAGTTAATGGTAGAGGTCGCAATTCTTTTTCCTGCTTACAAGCAGTAAGATGCTGCAATGAGTTGTTACATCTATATCTGATCATTCACCATTTATGCTGATAAATTTCAGATTCGAGGAATGCATACATTGATTCGTGATCGAGACATATCAAAGCATGATTTTGCTTTTTACTCAGATCGACTTATACGGCTGGTACTCCATGCCTCATAGCTCTGCCTAACTTTTATTCTTGATTGGTTTTCGCTTCCTTAATACTCAGAACACAGGACATGACTGCCTTTCTTGATCTTCATTATCAGGTTGTTGAGCATGGCCTTGGTCATTTGCCGTTTACTGAAAAGCAAGTAGTTACTCCAACAGGTAATTATGCATCTTTGCCATCACATGTGAAGTTTTCCGTCTTCATTTTTTCTTCTCTTGCTTTGGAATGGGAATGATGCTATGAACAAAGCAACATTTCTAGTTAATATGTAATGGAAGCAGATCTACATCTCTTTCAATCTTTTTATTGTAAATTTTCATATATGACAAGCAATCTGTAGACTTAGAATTCCACTTTATTTTGCAGGATCTATCTATACTGGAGTTGACTTCTGCAAGAAACTGTGTGGTGTTTCAATTGTTCGAAGGTGAGCTTTGAACTGAGTATTAATTTTGGCAACCCCAATATCTAAATGATACACTGCTAATAGAAATACAACTAAGCAGGTAATATGCAGTATTCCTGTATGCAGTTAGATTATTAATCGTGGGTTTTCATTGTTAGTGTGTTAATCATGCAGTGAGCATTTTGAATCTTGATGCTAAGCTAGAATCATTCGCTGTTGCACTCTGTTTAGGCAGTTCCTCTAGAGATGAATATTTCTCCTTGTTTTTTTTTTTTTGGCATGATAGTGGTGAGAGCATGGAAAATGCACTACGTGCATGTTGCAAGGTATTAAAATTGGGAAAATCTTGATTCACCGAGATGGGGACTATGGAAAACAGGTTAATAACTCCGTTTTTGGTCAAATTGACCTCCATTAAACTTTGTCTCTTATATTGGTTCTAAAATTGTACACGCGTGATTCATATTTAACTGTGAATATTTGCTCCTCTGAGCAGTTAATATACGAGAAGCTTCCCATGGACATTTCAGAGCGTCATATTTTGCTTCTTGACCCTGTCCTTGCTACAGGTGCTCTTCTACTCTCGATAATTTGAAACGTCCTTCCTTTATTTATTGTCCACCTTTACTGTGTCATATTTGTGTATGCTTTCCCTCCTGAGATATTTACGACCAGCAAATAAAGACCACATTTTAATTTCATTCATCTCGATAATCTGGTTGATATTACCCAGTGAATTAACTAACTTTTTCACGATTGACTTTAGGCTTAATGCTTAATTTATTGACCTGCATGAAATTTTTCAGTTGT